GTACGCCTCGGCAGCCTCCATCAAAGCACGCACCGCCGTCATCTGAAACCTCACGCCCATACCCAGAGCAATGTCCCGGTCCACAACCTCGCGCACGAGACGCAAGAACGGCCTGAAAGCCAAGTAAAGGTCGGTGGATCGTTGCAACTTTCTGATTTCCGACAAAGTTGTCATCCCTCGGCGTCGACGGTGTCTGGGGACCTGAGTTCGTGCACCTGCGGTGTCTCCGGTCCCTGGCACTGCCTTCGGGTTCACCTTCTTTCTGCCTGCGAGCGTCTTCCCACGTGGTGGTCCCGGCGTGCACTTCTTCTTCTTCCCCGGGCTCTGCGACATCGCGACATCGCTCGGCCCGCCCATGTCACCCTGTGCTGCAGAGCACCCCCCGACGCGAGCAGGACCACATGGGCCCTCCACCTCAGCAGACAAACGAGAAATTTCTGAGCGCTTCTCTGTCCTCTTGCCTGCCTGCGCTGAACCTAGCAAGCCATCCTCCGACATATACCGAACGTCTCGCAGGAGTCCATCTGAGTAGGTCAGATGGAAAGGCACACCAAGCAGGTCTCTGAATCTCATGGTGACGTCTCCACCGTGCTCATATGTCATGGGACATACGACCGGGACTCAACCAAGAACGGTCGTGCAACCGTGCCTGCGGCGAATGCGGGCCATGTATCTGTTATCACCGTCGCCGTGCTCTTGGGCCGTACAACTCCCCTCAACCATGGACCACATCCCCTGGTCAACCATGGAGTCGTAACCCGCGCACACCATTTGACGCTCCTCCTCCCTTATCTTCTCCCAGCACCGCTTTGCGTGTTCAACCACCAGGACGTGGTCCTTTACATTCATATTAAAAATTGAGACATGTGCCAGAACCACGAGGAACTGTCAATGCTCCACAATGCCTGCATGCATCCATCCCAATGGGAGCCAATGCCCTGATTGCAGTCTTGCTGCCATCGTCACCTTGTCATCAACCACTGCAGGATGCAAACATCCTGGGACCCAATTGACACGATAGCCATACTTTTCAGGGGCCATATGTTGCTGCAACTGTCCTTCAGGGATGACACGGGCCCCAATGTCCATGGCAGATAGAACGTCACTCCTCATTGTGACATGGTCCCATATCTGCGAGCGTACTCCATCGTACGTGGTTTCCTGCCCTCTTGCATGCGTGTATGTGCTGCCATCCTCACCAGTGAAAACTTTCTCTTCAACCACCTCCGAGTCCACAGGGCTCCGAAGCGGCGGGAAAAAGCAGCCAGCAGTGTGGGTATTGCATGCCATTGCCTTCTTCTCGTCTTCTGAGACCTCCCTGTCGAGGTGCCTGAAGGAGAAGTTGCCATTCACATAATGCGTGCTTCAGACATTTCCCATGGCATCACGCATCATCATCCTCACACGGCCACATGGAATCGGGATCACACATGGCACCCAACCCCACCTAGGATCCCTCCTCGCATCGCTCTCGTGGCACTTCGTACTCCCTGTTGCGTCGTTCCCGCCAATCATCCATGCCTTTCCACAATCAAAACTGTCGTACAAAAAATCGTTCAGCCTGAACTCGCCCTGCGCCTCCAGAACATGCCACACGTCCATTGCATATCGTGCTTTCACCCCTGTTGCTGCCCCATCGTTCAACCTTGCCAGAGTCACTTTTCGCCATGTATTATTTTTGGGGGCAGGAAATGGAACCCATGTCCCTTCGACTTTGAACGCAAAGCAAGGTGTTCCTCCAACAACACCCCGTTGAACACGACCTGACACCCAATTGATGTCATATGGGTACTCTTCTCCTGCTGATCTCTTCACCATATTTTCATCTTTCACAATACACCCTGTCAGAGATTCCCTGCTTCCCAGACCTCCCTCCTCTCTCTCTTCCCCAGGGGTTTCCGTCTCACAAGTGTTCCCTCCTACATCATTCTCTGTTTCATCACCATCACCCATCATCTCTGTAGTCTGTGCACATATTGTCGCAAGTACCTCTGCACAGTCTGCGTTGTTCCCTCCTGCCGAATTCCCTTCGTTGTCGTCATCTGCAAAACCCTTCAGAATGTCCTCCGTCTCCATGGCGCATGTCTCTCCACCGTTGACAGTCGATGCAATTGCGGGTTCCATCTATTGCATGAGACACCACATACATTTATGAGAACACGTAGCTGCGATATGCCCCCCTCACCAGAGAGAGAGAGAGAGAGAGAGAGAGAGAGAGAGA